TAAAACTCAACTCAACAGAATAGTCCGTAAAATAATTTAACTACTACAAAAGAGTCCCAACTACTGAACTCATAGTTACACATCACAGTTTTACCTTTAAGATTTTGTAAAAAATTACCTATATATTTACTCCTTAAAAATGGGCGGTGTGGCGTCCTCTTAATGTTACCAAAAAATCTAATAAAGGCTATTAAAAAAATAAAAAAACAGCTAAAATTGTTTTAGCCTTGACATCCGCCGAGTTTTATTGGTTTTTTGGTTATTAAATATTAAATTAATTTTATATAGACACAATATTAGGAACACGAAGCTATAACCTCAGATCGATAAAAAAAAAAACAGATAAGTATTTACCCCTAAACATTAAATATGATATTTACCGGATATTTTGACCTCGTCGATGCGATACTATATAATATGTTTCCCATTATATTATCATCATAATTCGTACTCATTATAATATATTAAGTAGTAAGTACTACTACAGCTGTCGATCAAATAATATTATTCATTTCCGTTCCAATTCTAAATAACTTTGAAATTTGCATTATAAATTCCATAAGGTAATATTTGTATAAATTATATTTTGTGCTCAAAATGTTGAACAGTTTTTGCAGGATCTTTCTGGTCCGAAATGTTTTAATAAAAAATTAAAACAAAATATATTTGGCGTTACCTAATGCATCGAATGGCTTTTATGATAACATGTTTGACCTTGCCATTGAACGGTTAAATGTATAATATTATAAAAAAGAAGAGGAGTAAATTAATTTTAAAAAACACGCTAGTTTTACGACTGGTCAGTATTTTTAAATATACATTACTATAAATACTGTATATTATTATTTGTTTAGTATAAAAATAATCTAATATCCAAATTAAGATTATATTAAATTAATTTCCGACGTTTTCCATTCATATTAACCCACCATCGCCAACTGCTAACATTGTTTAAGTCTTTAAGATAAACAAAAACAATGAAATAATAATATTTGTTAAAAATTATAATATAAGACGAGGTCGAAAGATATTGATTTAAACAAACTCAAACATTATATGACAATAATATTTCCGGTATTAGTGCAATAGATTTAAGCTACATTGTTTATCGCGATTAATTCAATAGATATCGATCAGTATCGATGGTAATTTTTTAAGTCAGTTTCACAAGGTTACCAATTGTCAAGCATACAGCTACTAGTTTAATAGTTAATGTATTTTCTTTTTAGTCATCGCGCATAAGTGTGTGCGTAATTTCTGAGTTAAATACGCTTTAACGATAAAATTATGTATAGATTTCCTGTTTTAGATAATATTATCTGTTAATGATCATATACAATATCTGTCTCTTGCTTATATTTATTTATAAATACTTATTTCGGTAAACCGATTTTGATGAATATATCATTTTATTCATATTTAGAAATTAGTTTGAAAAATAAACGAAAAAGTGAGTTTTTAGCTTTAACTAACTAGCGAACTTGATAATTTAGCCTCGCGGATAAATGGATTTTATTATTTACAAATCGAAATTGAAATATCAGTTGTATCTCAACTAGCAAATCAAATAAAGCCACCGGGACAAAAATAATTTACGTATTGTATAAAGAGTATATTGATTATAGACAAGATATACCGAATTTGTACAGGTAAAATTATTACAGGGAGAGCACATCCCACGGGTACCACCCGGTGCAAACTATATAGGCCATTGACTCACAATCACTTATTTAATATTTCATATTTTTTAAAGGAAAACAATTGGTATGTGTAATACGCGTGTGTACACTACCCTGATTATTTGTCATCCTTTTGGAATAACTACAAACTAGGTACTGGGTACAACCGATTATTTACAAACAGACACACGGCAGGTATTGTAATGAAAGCAAATTGGTCGATTTTATTGTAATGTACAAATGTAAAATGAACATGCGTTTATGCAACGTGACGAACTGAGTTGTCTGCAATGCGCGCGCAGTGCATTAGCCGTCGGGGTCTTGGGAAATGAAATAACAATAATTAAACTAATATTATACACATAACCTCGGGAAGCTGTTACAGGACTTACACGAGAGTCGTCCGGGCGAAAAAGCAAATGCCACCGCAAAAACTCGATTCTTTATTATTATTATTAGTATTATTATCATTACTATTAATGACCTCGAATTACAGTGGCTGAAGTACACGTTGTAGAAAGTGTTATTGCGTTACCACTTAAGCGCAAGAAATTGAAATATATTTGCACACGCACACAAGCAGATCAAGGAGAATTCAGAAAAAACTGTTCAGCGATGAACGAAAAATTGATAATATATTAGGTATGTTGTGAGTTGTGACGTATTATGTATTTATTTGTCGTTGGTATGATGTGCACGTCATAATTAATAATTCATTACCATTATAATTCATTAATAAAACATTACCAGATCACATCTGGTTTCTCGTCGAGGGTAAAAAATGTAGACATTTTGTCAAATATCAAGCCGCAGAAAACTAAAACCATTATTGTAAAATCATAATCGAAGATCTAAATTTGTTAATACTAATCATATTATAGTTTTTCGTCTAATACAGTTAATGTCACTGAGCTGATTAATGTTAAAACACATACAGATGTTCTGTTATAGTTGCTTGAAAAATAAACAATATCTATGTCTATGTTTAGTCCAAGTGAGTTACCAATTTTATTAAACGGGCAGACAACATACTATAGAGCCTCAAAGTCGGAGAACATTTTTTTCGTAACGGTTACCGATGGCAGAATTTTCAATCTGTTACAATAACACAACGGGTTTAACAGTATTACGCAATCATTAACAAGTTGGTATGTAGGTAATTATTATTTTTTATTTTTTATGTCGTATATAGTGACCCCTATATGCTTTTATAATATGGTATACACATAATATATATATTATATATAGTATAATAATTATTGTATTATATAATTAAATACTACAGTCTAAAGCACAGAAGGTATTCAATTGTTAGCATACAACCAAACGTTTTTTTAAACATATACCTTAACACTAAACTATAACAGTATAATATCAGTTTTGATGCTCTATCATATTGACTATATACAGTATACACGAATCAAAACATTTGAATTGTAAATCAAACGATCAGCAAGTGCACACGTTTTTAATTTACATAAAAAACGTAGACATATTTTAGTTGATACACTTTATTTTAAAGGACAAACAGTATTAATTCATAACTACTAACTTGACAGTAGACACTAGGTTTATTTTAACATGATAAATGACCGGGTAACAAGGTATAAGCAACTATCTGGTAGTCTAGTAGTTATTAGAAAACAAAAATTGTGTGAATGTACCAAGTAAAATATAATATTTATAACACTGATTGTATCACTCGATAATGATATTAACGTCAAAATCATTCTGTTGACCGGTAAAAAACATATAATTGATTATCGTTAACAGTCTAAGCAAACCTAAGTGACTCAAATAATACACCTACTGATAAAAGTACAGTGTATTATTATATTATTTGGTCATTTGCAATTTTATTCAGTTCATTGATCTAGTTTGTAGTATAAGTTAACCGACCATTGTTAACGAGTAGAGGGTACTCGGTATAAATATACCAAAAATCATAATACACTTTACAAGTTGGGTTATCTCATAATTTTCTTTCGGTACAGTAGGTGTTTAATGGCGGGCGGACCTGACAGCCGGGAAAATATAAATATAAAGAAAACGGAAAAATACATTAGCCGGCTGGTAGGCAGTAGGCACGACTATTACTTGACGGATATATACGTCGGCTGACCTGAAAGGGTTAATCCAACTACCAAGAATAATTATGCATGGGGTGATTCATTAACCCTGAGCCAATTTACACGAAAATAATAAAGGTTCATAATTGATGAGTCATTCTACATATTGACCTATATTTCACATAGATATCATGGACATAGATGTTGTTGAATCAAAGGATAGGAATGCAATAGTTATTTCTCATTTCCAAGATATTTTTGTGTGTCTGTGCCCTGTGTCCTCCAATTTAATATTCTGATTTCGGGCCACGGTTCAGGTTAGGTCAGAAGCCCCACATTTTGCATCTTGTCTTAGGGCAAAATCATTGTTAAAATTATGGTAAATTTTTTAATATTAACGAAGAGTCACATGCTAATCTTACTAAATGTATACAATTCCTATTGATGCAAATTAAAACGTAGTCGAGTCCTACATATGTTGGAGGAGACCGCATATTTGAGGCTTGAGCTATAAAACACCCTATTTTATACATATTATGCCGAAAAAGTCTGGACAAATTATAAGCGTGTTTAGAGCAGCGTGGTTGGAGCTTAGAGAAGCAGAAAGCAAGTTACAACTACATGAACAAAATATTCATTATCAAATTGGCCCAAGTGACAAGTACTAAATACGACAGAGAAGACATAAATTACGATTATAATTACAATTTGGTAGAGTAATATAATGTGCTAACCAATAACTATACTATTTATGACTCGAATATTTTCATTAGCTAAATTTAATTAGAGATAGTCAGTCATAAACGTTAACTGAGCATACATTTCAGCAAATTTAACCTCCCTGTCCCAAAAAAATGGATTTCCAAGTCTTTAATTAAAAAATAAATAATTTTTTAAAAATACCTCTTTGGGACCTACAGTGTATTCTATAAATATTCTCTTACTTTTACATTGCATGATAAGTGTTTAAAGGTTCCAATTACCCCCCTTGCAACGAGCTTATGCTACTGAATTGTCTTAGTAAACTTAAAACATATGACATGTCACATTTCTGCGGGTCCTGAGGTCACTAGGACTCTAGAAGAAACTTGATAGGATTCTCCGAGGAGAAACTGTCCATAGTGTCACCCCCGTGAAAGCCGCGTATGCAATTAAGTGTTATTTGCCCAATGCCTTTACGGAAACCGGTGACGCGTTCAACCGAAGAGTTATACGAAAAACGTTTGATAATTTTTTGATTTTTATAACTTACGGCCACGATCCAGACCTGTGCCGAGGTTTACGCCTTGAACGGGGTTGTACTATGGGGTCGACCGTGGGGCTGCTACTGCAAATGCATGATTTGGCGGTCAGCTGCGCGAGGTCTGCGTCGTCGTGGACGCAATTGCAGTTCTCTTGGGGGTTCGCGGACGCGCTGCAGATGGCACCGTAGCGGCCGGGCGCCAACAGACTGATCGAGTGATGCACTCGCATTGTTTGTGTGACGTTTGGTATCGCGCAGTATCGACAAATCCGTAAAATTGACAGAAAAAGCACAGAAACAGGATGTAGAAATAAAGAGACGCGGTCGATTACTGCGATCAACGGCGCGGCGCACTGGACACGTCGGTCGCGCTGCCAGCGGTTCGCTACTGCCGGTGGACGGCGTGCGGAGCCGGTGTTGGTGTAACGTGTACGACCTTTTGATAAGCGCGACAAACGTGTTGTGATAACGGCCTCACGCGTAAGGCAGAGACGCGCACTGACAACTAAATTCGCACTACTCACACAGTGTGTATTTTTGTTATTGGCTTCTCTTTTACCGCTCTCGTCCCCGCCACATTCCGCGGCGGCAGTGAAATCGAGTCGTCTCCCGCCGTATCTGCGATGTACTACGGGCGCCGATTGCCGATTTAATAAAATATAAAGATATATTTTTTTTATTATTATTTATTAGCGTGTACGCTCGTAAAATTACACACATAGAAATGTGATTATTATAATGGTAACATGGAATAACAACAAATAATGAAGTGCAAAAAATTCGACCGGTTTCGCCGTCAAAAACGCTACGACGTAACATAAATTGCGAATCGAGTCCATTACGTAAATCAGGTATCGCGGCGGCCGTACAGTAGTCGTATAAATAAAACACAGGAGCGTAACATAACAACGCAGTACACATATCTACAAAATTCTTTAATTTCCGGAGGGTATTCAAAAACCTTACATATAATACCATATGACCTATGTAGGGCGTATTATATTTAGGCCTAAGACAAGACGAAAATAGAGGCTCCACTTTGTCCCATTACACCACCACCCGAGCCCTACTGGCTCCTATAGTGCTACCCCATGTCACGTTGCATCCAATGGAAAATTTACCACTAGTCTCCGACTCAAATCGATAATTTAAATAATAGCACCGACCTTCTGTTCATCGGATTCCAACCGGCACCACAACTGCCAGCCGGACGTGGCTTCGTCGCCCCGGTTATTTCTGCTGAAGAACACACCATAGATAACTGACCGCGGCGGCGACAACGGCGGACACGCGTATCTCTTATGATGGACGTCGGCGGTCGGACACTGTCCGGCACTACGCTTCGTGTGATTTCTACCTTGACGCCTACTTACCGCACCAAAGCCGGGTGTCCTTGTCAGAAAAAACTAAATACCGATAAAACCTTTCACGTTTTACCCCTCCAAAAAAAAAAAAAATGTGAAGTTTTAAGTACGACCTAGTCGGCATGATATGTAAAATTCTCCCAGACAGGTCTTTTTTACCGCCCTCTCAAAAAAAAAAAAAAATTACTTTTTCAACCGATCAAATGCTTTGAAGTAGTAGCCCGTAAAGTTTTCTCTCTCTCGTTAGCATAGCTTTTGATAGAACAGAAAATTGACAGGCTGACGGAATAGTAGATCTGTCTATTTAACTTTGAAAAATGTACTACGAATTGGTTTTATTCATATTTTATCTCTAATTCTTATTTATAATAATTATGTTCAAATTTAAATATTATTTAATATCATGTAAATTGTGTAGTTAGGCATAAGACAACTAAATTTAACGAGCAGTCCACTATACTTTTATTAATAATAAAGTTGCTTATACATATTTCTATAATTTAAAAAAATTCTTCAACATTTCGCCCATCTGTCTTTTGTTCGGAATTGAACGAACCCCCTCCCCATAGCCACCCGTAGGAAGAAATTAATCTGATAAGCGTTATTTAACACATTTACCATTGGAATTTGGATTGTTTTATAAAATAAAAGAAACGTGAAACGCCAAGTATAAACAATGGTATACTGCGTTTTGATATAAATTATTTTTATTTATTTATTTATTTATTGTAAAACAGACGCCCAAAATATACACAGTATACTGTGTAACACACAATTTAGGGGAAAACGATAATTGATTTATTGTAAACTAGCAAAACATTACTTAATTAATTGGTAGTGTACAAATAAAATAACATAAAAAATAAAATATACAAAATTAGATTCGATTATTGTTTAGATAAACTTAAAAATTAAAGCCAAAGAAGGCTTTCACGGATAATATATTCCGTTTTATGAAAAAATCTATATTATTGAGGTTATTGCAAGCTACTAATGCCCTGTTTAAAGGACAGAAATAATCATATAGAGTTCTGTGATTAGCGAGGCGGAAGATTGACCGATTATTAGAGTAATAGCTGGGAACAGTGAAAATAACATATAAATAGATGCCTAGAATTTAGAGAGTAAATATTCGTTAATAGATTGATAAGTTCATAATAATTATGATCAGTTACAACAGGAAAGTGAGGTGACTTAGAGCTCAGATATTGCAAAAATTAATTTTGAATACTCTCAGTTTTAACTATTCAGACAGCCTAATACGGACTAAGGTGTAGACTTAAGTATAATTATTTTAGTGACTTAAATACATTTTCGAGTTAGGTATAAGGTACTTAATACATTTTCTATGAATTAAACAAAACATAAATGTTCTTAGTCTATATTGCTATGAAAATATATTCAAAAATTAGTCCACAATATATCAATATCTGTCCAATAGTTAAATAGTAAAACATATTCATGCTATAGCAATATCGGATTAAAGGATCAATATTTCAGTATAGTATTTTATTTTATTTTTATTTATTTATTTAAAAAAAAAAAGATATGTGGCATCTATTCCTAAGTGATCTTAAAATTATATAACAATAAAAGTTTCATATCTTATAGGTGTAAATGTGTATATGAACATGAATAATATGTTGATTTACTGACTAATAGTTATTTGACGTCAGTGGTAGATAGGACTGTTATTAATTAGGTACATTTTGACCTGTTAATGATGATTTGTTAAAAACAAAGAAATAATAATAATTATGTTACTTTTTAAAAGTAGACGCAATTTAATTTTTTGTGTAACTTTTTATATAAATCAGAATTAATTGGGCTAATCCTAATTATTGGTTATACGACATAGAACTTTGAAGGCTGTGTCGTTTTAAAAAAAAATATATTTTGAAATATACCTACCTAGTATATTCAACAAATTGGTTTGATTACATATTTTATGGCCCTGAACTAGTAAACTCTTTTTCGAAATTTACTGAATAAAATTGAGTGTAGGAATTTTTAGGTAGGAATCCTAAAAAGTGTAACATTAAAAGTGTTCACCACACGCTGTAGTTTTGAGGCTTTTACGTTTTACGTAGCTTAATTATTTCTCACTACAACAGTTATAGTTAAAAAAAGGTTTACACGCTCGCAACGCTTATGTCCTCGTAAGTTACCCATTTTACTCGTACGTCCGGTTTTTAGTTAAACGAAAACACAACAACTCTGCTGTACTAAAAGGGCGATAAACTTACATTGTCGTTAAAACAAGTTCACCCCCATGCCATGGTATGTGCAGTCTCCAAAGTGGTTTTAGAGTAAAAACAAGGAAATTCAAAGAAAACAATTTCGTCAAGGAAATCCAGTTGGTGGTTTTCGAATTTTTTAATGCGTCACATCGAAAATACCCGGTTTCACTGCCGTCGACTAGTGCGGCTTTAGCAAAATATATGCTAGTTGCATGACGACCAAAATCCGATAAAAATTGATAACAAGATGCTATGGCCTATTAATCGATACTTTCTATAGTTAAAATTGATTGAACTCATTGAAAAGGGCAATTTGCTTGTTTGTTAAATTAATATTTAACAAACAATACATTAATTGCGTTTGATTATATAACGTAGTCTTATTTTGGCTCAATACTACTCAACACTTTACTAGATATTAGAATAACACACTTAATATTGTTCGTAGAATTATTATCATAAGTGTCACACGAGGCTAGCCGGTCTAACCAGAGTTGCACTGACTAAAATTTTTTTGTGAGTCTACGTAGATTCTAGAATTTTGTTACAATACCGTGCTGCGTTTAAAAATGAATTAAATCATATTATGCAAAACTATTCTGTTGTTGTTTTTAACAGCACATCGTCGAACTACTATTACAATAACTCGCTATAGTATAATATAATTGCTATTACAATAATATCCCATCATAGTAGCGGAAATAAATTATCGATAAGAACCATTATTTTTATATTAGGTTCAAGTTTCAAGTTTCTAAGCGTTTATTGTTTATGACAACTTGGATATTATATTATCTGTCCATAAAATTTGCAGTTTATTTATTTTTTAATTTTTATCATTACAATCAGAAATAATAGTATAAATTCGTATTGACGATGTTCTCTTTAACTGTTAAACCGTACAGTAAAAGTTAAAACGAACTTAATACGTCTAATCCATGGCGATGACCTACGTCGAAAAATCAAATGTAAATTACAATTTGTATTATTATGTTTTTGTATACTACCGCGCCGTCTAACAACAACGAACGTTGCCTACCGCACGGCGCGCCGTACAGCGCGGTGGCCGTTGGGTTACACAAAGCACACTCGACAACGGTGCCCGAAATGCCAATAGATGGTGCTGATGCGATTCCGTCCAAACACAGGCTATCAGTTTCACGGATCCATTTGATTTTCTTAAATACTTGCTTTACCAAGGCCGTGAACTTGCCGCTCAATCCATAATTAAGGTATAAGCCGAATTTATGAAAATGGGTCGATTAACGATGGGTCCACTGTGAGTCGACAGAACAACGTATCGCTCCTGACATTCTCTCGTGTCGGTTAACGGATCGAAATCAACACAAATACAGGCCGATATCAGTGGTACAATTGCATCAGTAGTGGTTATAACTTTAACCATTACAAATCATATGATGAGGCAACCGTTATGATCCTTGTTGATTAAATAGAACGTTGCGCCAATGGGAACTTCTCCAGAGGGTCCCATTGGAATTCTGATGCCCCTACTGATGCCAAAACTCGAGTAATAATAATAAATGAACTATCATTGTTATATATACTCCTAATATCACAGAAACATTTAATTCAAAAGAAGCAATGAACTCATAATCTACAATACAATATCTGGATTCTGGTACAAAATACATATTTTTTATTTGAAAAATGCAATGGATATCCTAATTTAATAGTATACTGTATATGCTCGACTTAAATTTTGATTTTATCTGTCTGAAGTTCTAATTTAAATAAAAGTTCAAGTTATCTACCGATGCATTCTGCGATAACTAATGATGTCAATGATTATAACTATTAGTATTATCATTATAGATAAGTATTT